GTGTGTGTGTGTGTGTGTGTGTGTGTGTGTGTGTGTGTGTGTGTGTGCGCGTGTGTGCGTGCGCGTGCGTGTGCGCGCAGCCATAAAGACAAAGAAGCGGAGCTGGGTTTGGCACAAGGAGGCGGAGAGTGACTGGTTCATTTTTGCAAAAAAGGGGTGGGTGGGCACAGTAATGGGCACAGCAGAGGCATCCATGCCAGCTTGTTGATGTGCCTTTGTGTCTATCTGTCAGACAGTCTGCCGCTCCACAGTCTGCCTCAACACCGCAGTATGGATCAAACCTGGAAATCGGGTCAACCACAAATAAATTGGGAGTTGCAGAGAGGAGAGCAGAGGCAGGAAGGGAGAGAAGGCAGAAGAGAATAGAGGCGAGAGCAGGGGACATCCATTTGAATTTGGAAGGTGGTGGGGAAATGTAGGGCATGCATATTTAAGAAAGCACTGCTGGAGAGAGGGGAGTATTATAGCTGGCAGTGAGTAGAGTCACTCATGCAGATCTCTTGTCTGACTGATGGAAATGGAGTGAGACGGGGAGACTGTTGACTTCAAAGAAATACTCGAGCTGTTTTTTGAGACGCATTCTTATTTACTTAGGCTGTCAGCTTCTATTTCCCCATAAACCATCCATCATATTTATTGAGTGTTCTGCAGATCGGTTAGCCGCCAAGGTGTGGCTGCTTTGACTTTGATGACCAGTTATAAATGTATCCATGACTCCCCAAATCCCACTTGATAAAGTTGATGTCTTCTTTATCTGGTGATGAAGGGAGTAGATATCCTCCCTTTTTTAATATCTACAACACATGTTTCCAGTGGAGTGACATGCAGTGTCTTACATGGCAGCTCTCAAGGATCCACCCAACTGCAAGAATCAGATGATTAGATGTCTGCACAAAGCATCAGTCCTACAGTAGAATATGTAAATAGGTAAACGGAGCTAAAGCCATCCATTTAATTTTTTTTTAATATTTCTGAACCACCTCCCTGGTTACTCTGCAGCTTCCTGGTTGTCTTCTGCATTCACTTCATATTGTATAAAGAAAACCAAAGAGTTAAAAAAAAATGCATTAGCTGAGTTGGCATTAATCATCCAATATAGGAAAACAAACCAGGGAAATGTAATCTACATGCCAAGGACCCCTGAATTGATTTGATCAGATTTTACCTCAGGGACCTCCATCTGAAAGAGAAGTTTGGTTGTTAGATATAATCAAGACTAGAACTCTATAGTTGTCTACTACAGTTGAGGGGTCACTCTTATGACTGTTACTCGCATTGGGCTCTCTGTTACTATCACACCCACAATAGCCATGATGAGGAGATGGTCACACAACCTTTTTTCACCTAGAAAAAGTATGCACAGAATCCTTTAGAGAATCCGAAGTTGAAGTGTCAGTGTCTCGCCAACTAAATTGCAATACGTTTGATACATTTATGTTATGGGTCATTTAAATATCTTCCTCTTCAACTAACACAAACATCAAGTAAATGCAAATTGTTAACCACTAAATGCACAATTATTTGCAGTTATTCAAAATGATTTAAAAAAACTTTCATAAGCCAAAATGATAGCCTCCACTACCCAGTGTGACAGACGCTGGTGCGGTGGAGGCTTTCCTCTATGAAAATAGATAAGACAGAGTTAATCAATCCGCCCATTGGGTACTTTGGCAAAAGGCTAGTGGCTCCAGTGTGGGACAGCTATAAGAAACATCCCCCTTCCGCAGTCGGGGTAAATTGCAAGCGGGATGCATGCACAGACAAAGCATCTCATACACTTATCTGCTTGGCTGATGTCAACGCCAGCAACAGGATAGTTTTAAGAGAAAGCAGCTTTAAGTTTGCACACTCCAGGGGCTCAAAAGACAAACTTAAGAGTTCCTCAAAAATCAATGGGCCCAACAGGGAACTTTAAGGTGTACATGTAGGCTGCAGCTGGCAGGCATCCTTCGTAAACCTCATTAATGAGGCCTTAATAGTGGAAATCCTTACCTTTGTCCAGCAAATCATGTTGGAAGCATCACAAACATAAACTATTAGTGACTCGTGCCTCACATCATCTCTCAAACACGCTGCACTTGTCATCTTGTGATGTAGCCAGTCGATAGCCAGCCTGGCTGCTGCCCACTTGCACACATCGTGCAGATCAACCTCAATAGAGAGCAGGCAAAGCCTCCCCGCTCATGGAGTTGCTGGGCATATACTCTGGTTTTTTTTTTGCGGCTGCAACAGGATTGGTGTCTGCAAGTGACGGCTGTGCATGCTTTACTCCAATACATGCAGTGCAGAGGGTATGGGGTCCTTGCCTGAGATGGTAAAACCACAAGCGGCTGTGCAAGGGAGTTACACAACATCCTTACCCTTACAACCAGCGTTCCCCTGATACATTGGTAACCGTGGTAGATAATGATTTAGCTTGACCGCTAGCAGCAGATACCAACACACAAGCTCAACTTTACGTGCTAGCTTCTTAGTTAGGGTAGTATGAACGAGGTAAAAGTCCACACTACGAAAATAAATGTTTATCCCGACACCAGAGAACCCAAAGCCGGAGACTACCTTGATCGCTGCGTCCGTGCACGGTGGAAAATCCAGAAGACGGGACAGCTGGAGACTTAAAGGGATCTTCACAGGAAATAAAACAAGAATTCTGTGTTTGGGGCAAAATAACCCATGAGTTTCAAGCAAAACAAACAGGGTTTGTTTCATTAGAGTACCTCTTGAATTAATACTTATCCCATGGAAGAGAAAACTGTCACAAGCTGCAGCTGATCCTTGGCAGGATGTAACTTGGATGAAAGGGCAGCGTTCACCTCTAGCTGGCTCCAGCCTAATTAAACCCTAGAGGTGGTCGATATTAAATCACCACCAACGTCTATCAACATGCACATAGATGTGACTTTAATATGGCTGTTGTATTTAAGTGGTTTGAGTATCAGTTACTGATGTGGAAACAGTAAGTGTGTGTTTGCCCCTTGTCCTCTCGAACATACTCTCTCTCTACCCATGCCTGCCCCACGGTGTTATCTGAAGTCCAGCCAGAGGTCTAGCCAACAAGCCAGTTTGTACCCATGATGTTTGTCCCCTCCAAACCTGAGCAGCTGTTAAGAGACTTCGGTCATCACCGAGCTCTCAGAAGTGGAACCGAGTGGTTGTTGAGCTGTTTCCTAATACCCCTATGATTCATACATGTTCTGCTCGCTTACCCAGAATGCCGCTCTGCATGCCTCTCTGTGCTGAGGTCCTTGCCCTAGCCAACATTGTATCAGTGGATTACTCATCCCTCCACTGGGGCAAAATACCGCATTGTTTGTGTGCGTGTGACTCACTGTGCAGTTTTCATTGCTTAGACAGTAATGGCTTGTTTTTTCAAGTGCAACTGTAGAACAAGCTGTATTAACACAGTGCTGCTGTTCATGCATATTTAAGTTCCGTTGTGTTGTTCAGCATTTGGTTTGTTGAGCATTTCAGTGTTTAAAGTGTTTAGTCAGGCAGGCAGGATTCTTTCTAGAGCTGAAATATCAGTCTTTGACTGATCAGGCTAGTCAACCATTTTGAGGATTGATTCATCTGTTAAGTTTTTAAGCCAAAATGGCATAAATGAACTGGTTCTTGCGCCTCAAAATTGAATATTTGCTATTTTTTGATTTTTGTGATTGGGCTATGCTGGAATCATATGTGCAAATTTTGACCATGCGACAAGTGCTTTGGGTAAATCCTACTGAGACCAAGAAAAGGAAAGGTTTGATCCCAGAACGGTTACTACTTTAGAGTCCCGTTCTCCTCACAGGTGCCTACTTGGAGCTCCTCGACACATTCCCTACCCCAGTGTGTTTTTTGATTAGCAGCGTTGCATGAAAGCCGTCCTGGTCACTGAATGGCCTCCTCTGTGGAATTTGCCAGCCACTATCTAATCAGGTTTTCTCACTCTGTCAGATGTTAGCTATTCATCAACCGTTGTTGACGTCAGAACAACGTCATCCGCCTTAGATGAGACTTAATAGTGCAGCTTATGGCCTTTAGTCATTTTTTATTGTACACTCTTTGTCCCAACACACATGACCCTGAGTTGAGACAATATAGAGTTGTTAAGATGAGGTGTTTACTCGCTGGCCTCAGGAAATGTGTTGCTCTACTTTAAATATCTCATGTTAAGTTGACGGCAGAATGTTTTTTGATGTTAATGGGCTGTGAAATTAGCTTTGTGTGACTTCTCTTTGCATCTTGACGGAGGCCTGGTTTCAAAATTCTGCTGCCAATCTTATCTTTACATAAACGTGAGTGCACACCGGGGAAATCAAAGCAAAAACAATGTGTAAAAAGAAAAAAAGGAAAAGATATATGATATTTCTAATAAATGCAAAGACGAGGCAAAAAGTTGTTTTTTAATATCTCGAGTAAACTAAACTGCAAGTCCCATTTCAGCTTTGTGATTACAAAAATGCTCTTTTGAGATTTACCTTCAGATAATTGTGTTCCTTATATTTTGCACACTCTGCGCGTGTATAAAGTTTTGTTGGCTGGGTTTGTTGTGGTTGTTGTGTGTTGTCGCCAGGTTTGGTCGGTGGTCTGTATCCATGCCAGCTTGAAGGAAAGCCAACACCAGAGTGTCCTATCTTGTTTGCTACAGAGTGTGAAATAAAGAGTTCGCAAGCTATCTGGACAGAGAGGTGTGAAGAGCAACCCCGCCGACAGCAACAAACACCACAATTCCTAAAGTTCACCGGGCTGCAAAAAATCATGTAGAATAATCTGTCAGCCGATAAGTGAGCGCTGAGTGTGAAAGGTTAGAAAAACAGTAAGGGTGGTCTGAGGGCAGACAATGAGAGAGAGGTCAGTGATCTGGATGCTTGGAGAAAGAATACAGTAAAATGTAATACTTAACTCCCCGGAGAATACATAGACTTTGGTTGAAAGTGTCTTTCTGAACAAACTCGGTCTGTCTTAATGCTCACAGCTTGTGCTTGGCAGAGAAACGGATAATCAGATTTTGTTGTTTCTTATTTGGTGAGAACCCAGGTTGATATTCAGACTGGTATCTTGTTTTTTCCCACTAATTGTCAACTGCTTCTGTATGTGTACACTGCAATGATACACTCACTACCTCCCACTAACCCCC